AATTTAATTATACACCTAAGATTTATGCATTTCACTATATGTAAATTTTACCTTAAATAAACTGTAAATGAATATCAAACTCTATTTAAATAGGGTTGCCTTTCACAGTTGTATAGCTTAGCAATTATGAAACTCCTTTGTGTATAAGAGGGAAAATGGACAATTTGGGGCCGGGCTCAGTGGCTCACGCCTGTAATCCTAGCACTCTGGAAGGCTGAGGCAGGCATATCCTTTGAGCTCAGGAGTTCAAGACCAGCCTGAGCAAGAGCGAGACCCCGTCTCTACTAAAAAAAATAGAAAGACATTAGCTGGACAACTAAAAATATAGAAAATATAGAAAAAATTAGCCGGGCATGGTGGCGCATGCCTGTAGTCCCAGCTACTTGGAAGGCTGAGGCAGAAGGATTGCTTGAGCCCAGGAGTTTGGGGTTGCTGTGAGCTAGGCTGACTCCACAGCACTCTAGACCCTGGGCAACAGAATGTGACTCTGTCTCAAAAAAAAAATGTACATTAGGGAAAATGAACAATTTGAATATGGACTCTGGGTTAGATAATAATATTGTATCCATGTTAAATTTCCTAATTTTGATTAATGTACTATGGTTAAATAAGAGATTCCCTTGTTCTTAGTAAATAGAGATATAAATATTTTGTGGTAAGGGAGCATAATGTTTCCAATTCTTAAATGAGTCATAAAAAGAGAAAGTACATTTATATATATGTATACACATATACAGAAGAGAGAGAGAGAAATTAAGGGGGCAAAATGTTAAAATTTGCTGAAACTATATAGAAGGTTTCTGGACTCTCTACTCTCTAGTCTGGGTCACATGACCCTTTCAGATTTTTTTTTTTTTTGAGACAGAGTCTCACTCTGTTGCTGTGGCTAGAGTGCCGTGGTATCAGCCTAGCTCACTGCAGCCTCAAACTCCTAGGCTCAAGCGATCCTACTGCCTCAGCCTCCTGAGTAGCTGGGACTATAGGCATGCGCCACCATGCCCGGCTAATTTTTTTCTATATATATTAGTTGGCCAATTAATTTCTTCCTATTTATAGTAGAGACGAGGGTCTCGCTCTTGCTCAGGCTGGTTTCGAACTCCTGACCTCGAACAATCCGCCCACCTTGGCCTCCCAGAGTGCTTAAGGCCCGGCCTTAAGTTGTGTCTTATACTGACATATCATGAAAGGAAAGAAGCAGAGGTTTAAAGACATGGAAACTTCAAAAGAATTCTTAAGGGCTAAACTACCTTTTTTTTTATTCTAGAAGAAAAGGTTAATATATTACTAATGTACTGTGAAAGAACAAAGGTTCACCTTATTATCTTCCTTTTCTAGTGAAAGGAAATGAACTCTCAGCCAGCAACATTATAAATTTCCTGTGCCAAACAACTAAGTTAAAGGATAACAAAATATAAAAATGGTTTATCCTCAGTTTTCTGCCCCAGGGGTAGACATACGATAAACCTTCAATAAATGCTCAGTGAATTGCTAGGGATACAAATAAATGGAAAGAGATTCCATGGGCATGGAGAGGAAGATTCAATACTGTCAAAGATGTCAGTTCTTCCCAACTTGATCTACTCCAATTAAAATCCCAGCAAGTTATTTTGTGGATTTCAACAAACTGGTTCTAAAGTTTATATGGAAAGAAAAAAGACCCAGAATTGCCAAAACAATGTTGAAATGAAAGAACAAAGTTGAAGAATTGACCTTACCTAACTTCAAGAGTTATTATACTATAGGCCAGGCAAAGGCTCAGGGCTGCAATTCCAGCACTTTGGGAGGTGAAGGCAGAAGGACTGCTTGAGGCCAGGAATTTGAGAAGAGCCTGAGCAACGCAGCAAGACCCTATCTCTACAAATAAAAAAATTAGCCAAGTATGGTGGTATGTGCCTATAGTTCCAGCTACTTGAGAGGCTGAGACAGAAGGATCACTTGAGCTCAGGAGTTTGAGGCTGCTGTGAGCTAGGCTGATACCACGGCACTCCAGCCACAGCAACAGAGTGAGACTCTGATTCAAAAAAAAAAAAAATCTGAAAGGGTCATGTGACCCAGACCAGAGAGCAGAGAGTCCAGAAACAGACCCACACAAGTAAAGTCAAGTAATCTTTGACATAGGAGCAAAGGCGTTTCAACAAAGAAAGGATAGTATTTTTAACAAATGGTGCTGGAACATCCAACTAATAAAAAAAAAAAAATACAAGAGAAAATCTAGATGATCGTCAGTATAACAATGACTTTTTATTATTTTATAGGACAGGGGTCTATGTTACCCAGGCTGGTTTCAAACTCCTGGGCTCAAATGATCGTTCTGCCTCGGCTTCCCAAAGTGCTGGAATTACAGGTGTGAACCACTGTGCCTGGTCAACAATGACTTTTTAGATACAACACCAAAGGCACAATCCACAAAAGAAATAGTTGATAAGCTGGACTTCATTAAAATTAAAAACTTCTGCTCGGGCCAGGCGCGGTGGCTCACGCCTGTAATCCTAGCACTCTGGGAGGCTGAGGCGGGTGGGTTGCTCAAGGTCAGGAGTTCGAAACCTAAGCAAGAGCGAGACCCTGTCTTTACTATAAATAGAAAGAAATTAATTGGCTAACTAATATATATAGAAAAAATTAGCTGGGCATGGTGGCGCATGCCTATAGTCCCAGCTACTCGGGAGGCCAAGGCAGCAGGATTGCTTGAGCCCAGGAGTTTGAGGTTGCTGTGAGCTAGGCTGACACCACGGCATTCACTCTAGCCTGGGCAACAAAGCGAGACTCTGTCTCAAAAAAAAAACAAAAAAAAAACTTCTGCTCTGCAAAAGATAATGTCAAGACAATAAGATAAACCATAGACTGGGAGAAAATATTTATAAAAAATACATTTGATAAAGAACTATTATCCAAATTACACAAAGAACTCTTTAAACTCAACAGTAAGAAAACAAACTACTGAACTTAAAAATACCTGAACAGGGGACAAGGGCAGAGATAAAAAATATAAAATTAAAAATAAAATAAAATAAAATAAAAATAAATTTAAAAACCTGAAGAGATACCTCACCAAAGATGTACAGATGACAAACAAGTATATGAAAAGATGCTCAACATCTTATAAAATCAAGGAACTACAAATTAAAACAATGAGGTACCACTACACACCAATTAGAATGGCCAAAATCCAAAAAACTAACACCACCATGATGTGATGCAAGAGAACTTTCAGATTCATTGCTGGTGGGAATGCAAAACAAGATAGCCATGTTGGAAGACAGGTTAGCAGTTTCTTACAGAACTAAGCATACTCTTACCATATGATCCACCAACGAGTTGAAAACCTGTGTCCACATAAAAACTTGTACACAGATATTTATAGCATCTTTATTCATAATTGCCAAAACATGAAAAAGCAATCAACATGTCCTTCAATAGGTGAATGGATGAACAAATTCCATACAATGAAATACTATTCAGTGATAAAAAGAAATAAGCTATGATGCCACAAAAAGAAATGGAGAAACCTTAAATGCATATTGCTAAGTGAAAGAAGTCAATCTGAAAAGGTTATGTATTATATAATTCCAACTATATGGCATTCTGGAAAAAGTAAAACTATGGAGACAGTAAAAAGAGCAGTGGCTGCCAAGGGTTTGTAGGAAAGGATATAGGGATGAGTAAGGGGAGCAAAGGACATTCAGGGCTGTGAAACTATTCTGAATGATACTGTACTATCACTGAATATGTGAATATGTGTCATTACACATTTGTCAAAACCTATAGCATATACAATACAGTGATCTCTTTAGTTAATAATAATGTATCAGTATTGGCTCAAAAGTTACAATACCACACAAATGAAAGGTGTTGATAATAGGGGAAAATGGCTGAAGGGGATAAATGTGAACCCTCTGTTCTTTCTTCTCAATTCTTCTGTAAACTTAAAAGTGCTCTAAAAAATAAAGTCTATTAATTAAAAAAAAAACAGGCTGGGTGTGGTAGCTTATGTCTATAATCCAAGCACTTTGGGAGGCCAAGGCAAGAGGATTGCTTGAGGACAGGTATTTTTCTTTTTTGAGAGAGAGAGAGTCTGACTTTGTTGCCAGGGCTAGAGTGCCATGACGTCAGCCTCGCCCACAGCAACCTCAAACTCCTGGACTCAAGCAATCCTGCTGCCTCAGCCTCCCGAGTAGCTGGGACTACAGGCATGCACCACCATGCCCAGCTAATTTTTTCTATATATTTTTTAGTTGTCCAGTTAATTTTCTTTCTATTTTTAGTAGAGACGAGGTCTTGCTCTTGCTCAGGCTAGTCTCAACTCCTGAACTCAAATAATCCACCGGCCTTGCCTCGGCCTCCCAGCGTGCTAGGATTACAGGCATGAGCCACTGTGGCCAGCCAAGGCCAGGTATTTTTGAGGCCAGAAGTTTGAGACCAGCCTGGGCAACATAGTAAGATCCAGACTCTAAAACAAAACCCTGTAATCCTAGCACGCTAGGAGGCCGAGGCAGGAGGATCGCTTGAGGTAAGGAGTTTGAGACCAGCATGAGCCAGAGCAAGACCCCATCTCTACTAAAAATAGAAAGAAATTATCTGGCTAATCTTGACTAAAAAATATATATAGAAAAAAAATTAGCCGGGCATGGTGGCACATGCCTGTAGTCCCAGCTACTCGGGAGGCTGAGGCAGGATCGCTTGAGCCCAGGAGTTGAAGGTTGCTGTAGCTAGGCTGATGCCACCGCACTCTAGCCCAAGCAACAGAGCAAGACTCTGTCTCAAAAAAAAAAAGAAAAAAAAAAAGCCAGGTCTGATAGTATATGCCTATAGTCTTAGCTACTCAGAATGCTGAGGCAGAAAGAACACTTGAGCCCAGGAGTTTGAGGTTGCAGTGAACTATGATGAGGCCATTGCACTCCAGCCTAGGCAATAGAGCAAGACTCTGTCTGAAAAGACAAAAAACAAAACAAAACAAAACAAAAAAACAACAATAAACAACAACTTATCAATAAACTTCTTACCAGGTCTAATGAAGACGTTTTCCACAGACAACATTGCTGCTATTGGAAGTAGTAGATCCTCACAATCCAGAGAAGCAGCCTTTATTACTGCACATGTGAGATGTGGCGGGAGAGGAAACTCCACCATAGACAAACCCAATCTGGTCACATGGCCACTCCTTAATAGAAAGAAAAAGTTCCCAAGTCTTTCTATATTGGGAGAGTATAAATGTAATGTTCATCATTCAGAATAAATCTGACATAATTTAGAATACCTTAAATCACCTCCAGGAATTCAATTCAATATAAGAAAATAAAAAACTGTGGTCACTGATAAGAAGAACATAAAGATGATAAATTCCTACTATCAAAAGCCTTTAATACATCCAAAAACTAAACAATGAGGCAGAATAAAGCAGTATAATAAAAGATACAAACATGCCACTGAAGCATAAAGAATGTCCTTGAAGAAATGAGAGAATAAATATCAAAACTTCTCCCCTCACACGATCATGAGAACAAGGACTATGGCCCTCTTATCATTTTTATGTACTCGGCATAAAGCTTGGCAATGAAATGGTACCCAGAAATTACTTGTTAAATAATACCAGTACTAACCAAAAATGGTTTTATGGTATAGTTTTTAAATCAGAATTGTAAAAAAAGACTCAGGACAAATTCTAATTTCAAGTAAAACAATCCATCCAACTTAAACAAATTAATTTTCTACTGATAAGGAAAGGTATATTTAGAACCTTGTTTAAAAGAGATCAATATCTGTTTTTGTTGTGATTTTTAAATTTTACCTGTCAATAGCATCACACTGGTAAAGTTGTTTAAGAGCTTCCAGAATAAGTCTCTCATTAGGTGGATCCAAATAGGGAAATCTGTATGTTTAAATGAAACATGAAATGAGAGGTCATTTCTTGAACATGGTAGAATTTTATATACATATGATGAATATTTCTTTAAAAGGTTTTATTTTTATTTTTCAAGTCCTCCTCTTTTTTTAAAACATTCTATGGGCTGGGCATGGTAGTTCATGCCACCCAGCACTGTGGCAGGACAAGACAGGAGGATCAGGCAGGAGGATCATTTTAAGCCAGGAGTTCAAGACCAAACTGGTCAACATAGCAAGACTCCATCTCTAAAAAAATAAAAATGAAATAAAAAACAAACAAACAAAATTCTGTGATCATAACCAGCATTCAGCAAAAGAGGAAATAAATTGTTCTGAATCACACTCCTCTAATTCAAGTAGCACATCTTTTTTACTTGCCTTAGCTAGAATACTATTTCTATTTAGCTTAATCCTGCCCCATCCTTCACAGCTAATGTCAAGTCTACTCGCTTCTGCAGTTCACATTTTTTCCCCAAATTTTTATAAAACAATGGAGAAAAATTAATTGCAAATGGCTAAATTGTTCAATAGTACCTGAAAATACTTTTAGATAAAAGGGGAAGTATATTCAATTAATTTCGCCATATTTTTATCATTACATATGTATGTGTATGTACTTATTAATATTTTCTGAACTATCTGAAAATAAGTTGCAAATACAATGCCACTTCTCCACTCCCCAATTATTTCTGCATACATCTCCTTAAAAAATGACATTCTCTTAAATTACATAATTTTATTAATGAACATACATAATAAAATTAACAAAAATATTCACAAAGGGCCAAGCATGGTGGCTCATGCCTATAATCCTAGCATTCTGGGAGGCAAGGCAGGCAGATTGCTCGAGGTCAGAAGTTCAAAACCAGCCTGAGCAAGACCCCGTCTCTACTAAAAATAGAAAGAAATTAATTGACCAACTAAAAATATATATATAAAAAATTAGCCAGGCATGGTGGCGCATGCCTGTAGTCCCAGCCACTCAGGAGGCTGAGGCAGTAGGATCACTTGAGCCCAGGAGATTGAGGTTGCTATGAGCTAGGCTGATGCCACAGCACTCACTCTAGCCTGGGCAACAAAGCGAGACTCTGTCTCAAAAAAAAAAAAAAAAAAAAAAAAAAAGATTAAGTGAGTTAACGGAATGGTGCTTGGTACATCTTGAAAAAGGTCCAATACCGTACATAAATGTCCATTCCAGGATTGATAGCTCTATTTTAAAATAAGTAAACAAACAAAAATTTCTTAGACTGTTTTACTGTTAGCTTTCCTAACAATAGGTCCTGGTAGCAGCTAGAGCAAGAATTGGCTAACATTTTCTGTAAAGGGATAGAGAATAAATAGTTTAGGCTTGCAGGCCATTTGGTCTCTGTTATAATTACTTAACTCTGCTATTACAGCAAAAGCAGACATATGTAAACGAATGGGCATGGCTACATTCTAATACTATTTTATTTACAAAAACAGTGAGACTGGAACATAGTTGCCACCCTATGCTAGAGTGGTATCAAACTAGTCAGCTTCCTCTTCTACACAACAGTAAAAACTATTTTTTGTGAAATACTGCAAATTTTAAAAACTGCAATAATTTTTCTCCCTTGATTCAAGCAATTATTAATTGTGTTAAGCACTCTTCATAAATTACTTGATTTCTGTGAGACCCACCATATCTAATTACCACCCTCTAGACTGTGATCCCCAAACTCTGTGCCATGGTTTGTGGCCTGTTAAGGACCAGGCTGCAGGGCTTGGCTGTGCACTTCCACCCCTCGACCCATGGGAAAATTATCTTCCATGAAACCTAGGAACCACGGTGCACAGTAGGTAAGCAGTGGCAAGCGAACAAGCAAGCGAAGCTTCATCTGTATTGACAGCCACTCTCCATCTCTCATATCACCGCCTGAGTTCCCCACAACCCTACCCCACTACCAGTCTGTGGAAAAATTGTCTTCCATGAAACTGGTCCCTGGTGCCAAAAAGCTCAGGGACCACGGCAAAACATTCTAGCTTGTCAAACTCCTCATTATACTTGATGATATCCAAAACTGAATTCCAATCGTTGAGTAACCAACACAGAACAGAAATGCTATGATTCCCTCTTGTATAGACATTACAGTTTACTAATATAACCAAAGTCTATGCCAGTGGGATTGTTTTTATTGTTTTTTTTTTAAACAAAACCTTAACTACAAGCTCATATTAATTTTGTGGTGATCTGATAATTTCAGATCTTTCCCACATGTATTTCCTTATTGTGCATCCGAAACACAGGATATAAGATGTATCTTAGGTTGGGTGCAGTGGCTCACATCTATAATCCCAGCACTTTGGGCTGAGGCAGGAGGACTGCCTGAGCCCAAGAATTCAAGCAACATAGCAAGACCCCATTTCTACAAAAAAAAAAGTTAAAAATTAGTGAGGTGTGGTGGTGCATGCATATAGTCACAGCTATGTAGGAGGCTGAGGTGAGAGGATATTCTTTAGCCCAGGAGTTTTTTGGTGTCTCATATTTTGGGGATTTTTAGTACATCCTAGATCTTAAGACTTAAGATGGAAAAATAACTCAGTGCAGATGATATTAGTAATTATTGTTCCTATTTTTCTAATATGTATTCATTCTTGGTTAGATGCTGCTCTGTTTGTGACACTTTCCTTCTCTCTCATTGGTATCATTTATGATTACAGTTAGAATTTCATTTATTATTTGCTTTTCTCTTTCTAGGATCTACATATTCTCATTTAGAAAATCTCTATTCTTATATAACTATCCAAAACATTTTGAAATTGGCTTTCCAAGAATATACAATACATATTTGGGTGTACCTAGTAATCACTTATTATTATGAATTTAAAGAATTTGTGTTGGCCGGGCATGGTGGCTCACACCTGTAATCCTAGCACTCTGGGAGGCCGAGGCAGGAGGACTGCTTGAGCTCAGAGGTTGGAGACTAGCCTGAGCAAGAGCAAAACCCCATATCTACTATATAGAAAGAAATTAATTGGCCAACTAATATATATACAAAAAATTAGCCAGGCATGGTGGCACATGCTTGTAGTCCCAGCTACTTGGGAGGCTGGGGCAGGATTGCTTGAGCCCAGGAGCTTGAGGTTGCTATGAGCTAGGCTGACGCCACGGCACTCACTCTAGCCTGGGCAACAAAGTGAGACTCTGTCTCAAAAAAAAAAAAAAAAGGCCGGGCGCGGTGGCTCACGCCTGTAATCCTAGCACTCTGGGAGGCCGAGGCGGGCGGATTGCTCAAGGTCAGGAGTTCAAAACCAGCCTGAACAAGAGTGAGACCCTGTCTCTACTATAAATAGAAAGAAATTAATTGGCCAACTAATATATATAATATAAAAATCAGCCGGGCATGGTGGCTCGTGCCTGTAGTCCCAGCTACTCGGGAGGCTGAGGCAGGAGGATCGCTTGAGCCCAGGAGATTGAGGTTGCTGTGAGCCAGGCTGACGCCACGGCACTCACTCTAGCCTGGGCAACAAAGTGAGACTCTGTCTCAAAAAAAATAAAAAAAAAATAAAAAAAGAATTTGTGATCACCTTTTCCCAAAGTTCCAGATACATTTAGATTTCCCAGGTTTAGATTTGGTCTTAATCAAGACCAAAATAAAGAATAAGACAGTACGTTCCTTCATTACCGGCTCTACCATGTCTGATGTAAAATTTCCATCCCCTACAACAATAACAATATTTTGTTCTATACCAATAAATTTCTTAGATTAACATTTGACTAATTTAATACTTGTTCTCTTCTCTCCTTCATGTGTCTGAACCTTGTTTCCCCTTGTTTCTTTCATGGTAAACAGTACAATGCTGGCCATACCAAAAAAGCTACCAAAAAAACACTTTCTGACTGGAATTAGGATCATTAATACCTTTCATTACAAATAAACAGTAATCACCAAGTGATCCACATAAACACCAGCTTGAGGTCCCTCTATCAAGCCAAGGTTAAAACATGAGCAAACGATCAATTCCCAGTAAAGCAATGCAAGGAAGTCTTTTATTTTGGTTTGGTTGAAAAGCAACCAATGAGAAAACCCAACCTTGAAAATAGATTAGCCTCAATTCTCAAGGATGTATGAGTCAAATACTACAAAAGAATTTTTAAGAAATATCCTGGCTTAACCTAACAAAATTTTCTTTTTTTCAAATTTTCCACATACCTTATGACATCATGTATGGCAAGGCACTTTAAGGTCAGAACTACAGATGTCAAACTAGTTCTCTTAATCTCAGGGATTACATGGTCAGGCATACACTGGTTCCAAAAATCTTTACTATATATTCGAAAGCATTTTCCTGAGGAAGTCCTGCCAGCTCGGCCACTTCGCTGTAATGCCTCACTCCTACAGAAGGAAAACAAAAACAAAAAGTCCCCAAAATGTTTTGTGGGTTTCCCAGGTAATTTACTTCTTATCCCCAAACCAAATAGAAATTATCTAACCAACTATTCTTTGAACAAAAAGGCTTGACATAGAGACTTACTTTGAAATTGGAACCACCTCCAGGATGTCTAATCCTAATCTGGGGTTGTGATTTAACTGCTTCACAAAGCCACCATCTACCACATATCTAAGGAGAATGAAAGCAAGTTAAGATTCTGGAAAATAAGGGAAGACTTGTTAATTTTTAAACACTTTGAGTTTTCCTTTTCTAGCAATTTAACAACTACACAATGCCTTTTATGTTAAGTGTAAAACATGAAAGTCAAGAAATTGGAACACTTATGTGATGCTGGTAAGAATATAAAATGGTTCAGCCAAAGTAGAAAATGGCTTGGGAGTTCCTCAAAAAGTTAAACACAAAATTACCTCATGAACCAGCAACTCCATTACTAACTATACACCCCAAAGAACTAAAAACAAATAATCAAATATTTATAGATAAGCCGGACGCAGTGTCTCATGCCTGTAATCCCAGCACTCTGGGAGGCCGAGGTGGGAGTTTGGCTCAAGGTCAGGAGTTCGAAACCAGCCTCAGCAAGAGCAAGACCCTATCTCTACTTAAAATAAAAAGAAATTAATTGGCCAACTAAAAATATATAGAAAAAATTAGCCAGGCATAGTGATGCATTCCTATAGTCCCAGCTACTCCAGAGGCTAAGGCAGAAGGACCGCTTGAGCCCAGTAGTTTAAGGTTTCTGTGAGCTAAGCTGATGCCATAGCACTCTAGCCCAGGCAACTGAGTGAGGCTCTGTCTCAAAAAAAGAAAATACATAGAAACAGTAAGACTGATAGTTGCCAGGGGACAGGGTGGAAAGGAGAATGTGGATTACCTGCATAATGGGTAGGGGTTTTATGTCGGGGTAACACAATGTTTTAGAAATAGTTCTAATAGTGTTACACAATACTATAAATGTATTAAATACCCCTTAATTGTTCACTTTTAAATGATTAATTTCATGTTATGTAAATTCACCTCAATAAAAAAATAAACTTTAAAGTCAGCTTTAGACCATCCTAACAGGTTCAGAATCTAATTCGAACTAGCCCTTAACATGCCATTTGAATCCAATTAAATGGAAAACAAATCAGGTAAGAACTAAGTTAGGGCCATGTGCGGTAGCTCACGCCTGTAATCCTAGCACTCTGGGAGGCCAAGGCAGGAGGATCGCTCAAGGTTAGGAGTTCGAAACCAGCCTGAGCAAGAGCGAGACCCCGTCTCCACTAAAAAATAGAAAGAAATTAATTGGCCAACTAAAAATATGTAGAAAAAATGAGCCAGGCATGGTGGAGCATGCCTGTAGTCCCAGCTACTCAGGAGGCTGAGGCAGCAGGATCACCTGAACCCAGGAATTTGAGGTTGCTGTGAGCTAGGCTGAAACCACAGCACTCTAGCCCAGGCAACAGAGTGAGTCTCTGCCCATAAATGGCCCGGCTATTTTTCTATATATACAATTAGTTGGCCAATTAATTTCTTTCTATTTATAAAGAAAAACACAACTCAATACAAACTGGAGAAAACAAAGAGCAAAATCCGCAACTGCCTCCCAGATGCTAGGATTACAGGAGCTAAAAAAACACCAAATAGATTCTATAAGATTAACATGTGGGGAAGGCTGGTGAGCATCATATAAACACAGTCTCCTTACCGATTTCTGTCTCTAGATGATATTATTTCGAGACAGAGTCCTCGCTTTAGGACATAAAAACCAGCCACTCACACTCAAACTCCTGGCTCAAGCGATCTCCCTGCCTCCAGCTCCCGAGTACTGGGATCACAGGCACGAGCCACCATGCCCGGCTGTTTTTATATTATTAATATTAGCTTGCCAATAATTCTTTCTATTTTTACTGGTAGAGACAGGTCTCGCTCAGGCTGGTTGGGAACTCCTC